GGGGGGTGGGTGGGGCGGGGTTGGATCAGCAGGGCCACTTCCCCCAGTCAGGGGCCGCGTGCGAGCAGGCGGAGGCAGAGGCCGTGCGCCTGGCCAACGAGATGCAGGCTGAATACTGGTCCGTGTCAGCCAAGACCGGTGAGTGGGTGCGGGGCTGCCGCGGAGGCGTGGCGATCGGGGTGGGGGTTCCGGCCGGTGGATGGGCGGAGTGGCACACCCTTGTTCCCCGGTTGAGACCCCTACTCCTGCTCATGGGGACAGGTCCCTGCGGGGTCCCGGCCCGTATCTCAGGGAGGCAGGGGCAGCCTCACCTGGAACCACAGCGTTGTCCCGCCCCTACCCGATGCGGGTGGGAGGTCCCGCCTGAAGGCGTAGCAAGCACTGTCTCAACCAATTGCCGCTGAGCACCTGCAGGCCCGGCGCTGCCCGAGGTACAGAGGATTGGGCCACGCCCCCAACCCCCACCCCCAGCTGTCATCCACACCCCTCCCGGTTTCTGCCCGGGCCTCACTGGTTCCCCGAAAGGAGCTGATCTCACCCACGGCACCGCTTACCGCAGCCTTCAACATCTCTGAGCCTCAGCATTCTCACCTGGGAAGTGGGGTGATGCCATCAGTCTTGTATTTTTAATGCAAAACACGCTTTTTATGATAAAAGACATAGGATGCACTGAGGAAAAACGAGCGAACGCACAGAAGCAAAGAACAGACTCTGCAAACAGGTTGTTGGGATGGAATGAAACAACTCGCAATGCCTGGCGCACCGCAGGTGCCAAGGCTGTGGGGACTCAGGGATTATACCTCGGAGTCCTTACCCCAGGAGAGGGGCCACTGTGGACGCTGCCCGGGGTGCAGGTGGAAGCACCACCTCCTCCGGCTCGGCACAAAGTGGTGGCCGTGCCCAGTTCTCTCTGCCCCTTCCTGAGGGCACCCCCAAGTCTGTGAGAACCCACCTTCTTATTGGAATAACAGCCCATTCCCAGAGAGCTCCTTATGGAGCAAGCAGGTCCTCCTTGTGCGGTTGTATAGGTTGTTAACTGCACAAATGCAGTGTGCGTGTCGGGGGCTGCACCTGGCCCTGTGCCCCAATGGGTGGCCTTGTCCTCCTGGAGGAGGAGGCACAAAAGGCTCCACCTGGGGGAAGAGAGCTCCTTATGGAGCAAGCAGGTCCGCCTTGTGCGGTTGTATAGGTTGTTAACTGCACAAATGCAGTGTGCGTGTCGGGGGCTGCACCTGGCCCTGTGCCCCAATGGGTGGCCTTGTCCTCCTGGAGGAGGAGGCACAAAAGGCTCCACCTGGGGGCCAGGGGATCTAATCCTCTTGGCTGCCCACTGGGCAGATGCAAAACGGTGACAAGAAAGCAGGCCCACCTGTGATCTCCGCACAGCCCAGCACCTGGCCTGCAGGCGCTCAGCTGTGATTGACTGAAACAGTGCATGCTAAGTCGCTTCAGGCATGTCTGGCGCTTTGCGACCCCATGGACTGCAGCCCACCAGGCTCCTCTGTCCATGAGATTTTCCAGACAAGAATACTAGAGTATGTTGCCATGCCCCTCCTCCAGGGGATCTTCCCAACCCAGGGATTGAACCTGTGACTCAAGTCTCTGCACTGGCAGGCGTGTTCTTTACCACTAGCGCCACGTGGAAACCAAGGCTCAGAGGTTATCAGGAGTGGCCAGGCTGGGAGTCTGTCCCCTGCCCAGAGAGGGGAGCGTCCGCCTCCTGCCCCACCGACTCCCCTGCCCCCAACAGGGCGCCTGCAGGCGGGGGTCATGACTGTCCATGCCCACAGGGGAGAACGTGAAGGCATTTTTCAGCCGTGTGGCCGCCCTGGCCTTCGAGCGCTCAGTACTGCAGGACTTGGAGCGGAGGAGCAGCGCCCCGCTGCAGGTCGGCGGCGGGGACCTCATCCGTACGTGCAGGGCCCCCGGGCTGGGGAGGGGCTCGCGCCCAACATCTGCATCCACCACCCTCTGCCGGGGCTCGACTGTCCGCCCGGCTTGTCTGGGCTCCTCTCCCCTCCTGCTGACCTCCGGCTGCAGTGCCCCCCCACCAACCGGCCACCTGCCGGCCAGCTCAGACACCCTCCCTCGTCAGCTCAGGTGCCCACTCGGCGCCAGGTGACTTCTCCCCTTGCTGCAGGGATGGAGGGACGCCCACCCGAGACCCCGGACAGCAGGAGGCCCTCCAGCCCGAGTTGCTGTTAGCCAGGCCTGCGGCAGAGGCCTCCCCGCCCTCCACGAGCCGTGCCGGTGGTGTGTCCGCGACATGGAGGGGGACGCGGGGCGCCCACCACGCTGAGCCCCAGGGACCCCCCTCCCCCAGCTGCCTCCTCTGCGTAGCGAGGCGGGAGCCAGGGGAGGCCCCCACTGCCGCCTGGGGCCCCGGTCTGGAAGGCCAGTCGCACCTACAGTGTTGCTTGTCAGCCCTGGCTGCGGAGGCTCAGGACCGCAGGCATAGCACCTGTCCTCCGGGTCCCAGACCCCGGGCATGGTCGGGGCTCCCCGGGCCCCTCCCCAGCCCCTCTGGTCGGCCCCGGAGTCCCCCTCATCTCAGGGGCCCCGGCGGGTGGGACTCTCTCTCTCCTGGCCCCGGCTGTTCTGTCAGCAGGGCTGGGCCTCGGAGCCCCGGCCCTGCGGTCCACCGTCCCTCTGCCACGGGCTTGCGGGTCCCCTCTCCGGCCGCTGAGGGGCCCCCTCTGGCTCCGCTGTGACCCGTGGCATCCTGCGCCCCGGGTCAGGGGCCGAGATGGGCAGGATGGGCCATGCACACTCCCGGCCTGGCTGTGCCCCGCCCCCACCCCGTGACTCGCTGCGGCATCCGCTGCTCATGGCACTGCCCCGCCACACACACTGGCAGCTGTCACCCGGACTCTGCTGGGCCGGTGCCCACCCCCGACCCCTCTCTCCCACTGGCCTGTGAAGGTCCCCGAGGACCCTGATGATGGCTGCAGGCGTCTGCAGCCCCTGCAGGCAGGCTCCCCGTCTCCACGGCCCTCCTGATCCCCGGAACAGGCGGGCGCCCCCAGCCTCCCCTCCCCAGCTCCCACCCAGAGTTCCCGGCCCGCTCCAGGCCCTCGTGGGGCTCCTCCACAGGGCCTACCGAGCCCCCCACCTCACGGCCACAGGCAGGTGGCACGTGTGGCCGCCGTCCTCGTGGACTGTGAGCGTTCCCTGGGCAGCCAATGGTCAGCGGCCCGGGAAAACCCCGCCTCCGGCCCCCCCCCCCTCCCCAAGGCCTCAACCCCCCCTTTGGGAAAAGGAAGGGCCCCCCTTGCAAGAAACAACCCGCAAGAAACCCAAAAGAACCCTTGGGAAAACGGGCCGGAACCGGCCCAACCCCCAAGGAAGCCCCCCCGCGGCCCGACGTAAGCAGCGCAGGCCTCCTGCTGTGAAACCCGCGTGCCCTCTCCCCGGCCGCCCACCGGGCGGCCTTCTTCCTCCCAGGCTGGGCGAGCCTGTGTCCCTTCAGGCCTGCAGATCTGACTTCCTGCAGCGGGGCCAGAGTCTGTGCATGCCGTCTGGCCCTGGGACAGTCGGCTTTTCGCTTCTTTTCACTGAGGCGTCGGTCCTCACAGCGGCAGCTTTCCACGCTCGGGATTCCCCGCAGGGACCTCGCTGGGCCTCCGCGGGCTGGCCCACCAGACCCAGCCTTGGGGCTGTGCCAGGCCTGGGTTTGGGCCACGCGAGAGACAGTGTCAGGGTGGGTGAGTGTGCTCAGGTGGGCTGGCACCCTCCCGGCTCCCTCCCCGCCTCCGGGGCCGTGTCCGGCTCTCACTGGCCCCCGAGCCAGGACCGCCATCTTGTGCGCACCCAGCCCTCCAGGCGGCCCGCCGGGAAACTCCCTTCCTGTGGCCCCCGTGTGCATGTGAGCACTTCAGAGGCATCTCCAGGAAGCGGGCCTCGGATGCCTCCAGAGCCCCTCCAGCCTGGCGATGGGACGCGGGCCCCTCCCGAAGGGCCGCAGGCTCCTGAGGGCCTTGACGCCTGAGGTCACCTGAGATGGAGGTGAGGGGACGTGGTGATGGGCGGGGGCCCGCTCCGCTCACAGCCACACAGATAGAAACCTGAGCGGGACTGGGGGGGTGCGGGGGGACAGGCGTTCCTGGCCTGTGAGCTGCAGAGGGTGCTCTGGACCCAGGAGGCCCGGGGCAGATACACGAGCGGGTGTGGGGAGTGGGAGCTTTCAGAAGCAGCCGCAGCTCAGAGAGGACCCTCATCCTCTGAGTCTTCTGTTTTCCCGGAGACGGGGCAGGGGAGCTGGGGGCCCCGAGATGACACGTCACTTGCCCAGCAGCCCCGTGCTCCTCTGCCATCTGCCGCGGCCTGCCCTTCACTCCCCAGGTGTCAGGCCGATGGGGAGTAGCGTGTGGTCCCGCGGCCTCCCTCCAGGCCTCTACCCCCTCATCCAGACACTCCCTCCCCCGCATTCCGGGCCCCCCCCTCCCCGGCCACCTGTCTGAGCCGGCACCCCCAGGAGGGAGCAAGGCGGGGCCTCCCGTCCACAGGCCGCTGCTCACAGGCCCCTCCTGCAGCCCCTGGTCTCCAGCAGAAGGGAGGCACCCCTCCACCCCCGCCTGAGGGTGCCCTGGGTCCCTGACCACAGGAAGCCACCGCCCGCACTGTGTCGCCGTGTCGCCGGCCGGGCCTTCAGGAACCAGCCCATCTTGTCTGGGCCCCTGCACCCTCTGTGAGGCTGGAAACGCAGCCGAGGCGCTCAGAGGGATCTGTACTCCCACCCCCACTGCAGGGCCTCATCAATAATTGATTCTGCAGAAGGCAGGGGAGTTCCAGCCAAGAGGGAAGGAAGGGTCCACGGCTCACTCACGCGGAGCCCGGGGCCAGTGAAACCCTGCAGAGGCCCCACTCCCCTCTGTGGGCCAGGGCTGGGGGCCTGCAGGAGGTGCCCCGCCAGGCGCCCCCCAGCACAGCACCACGGGCAGGGCTACAGGACAGCTGTATCGATCGCCCCCGCTTTCCGATCTTGCCTGCAGCTCCCTGGGGCTGAAGGATGATGGATGACAGCTGGGGGGTCATGTGGCCACATCCCTGCCTGAAGGGAGCCCTCCTCTGGCCCCCAAAGCTGGGGGGATGCAGGCGCGCACAGAGCAGGGAAGCAGCAAAACACAGCCCCTCACTGCTGTGTGAGGCCATCAGCAGTCACTCCCCACACCGCCCAGCCCCCGTCCCCAGGCGGCCACCAGCCTACTTTCTGTTTCCATAGATTTGGTCTGTTCTGGACATTTCACGTAAACGGAGTCATACAATATGTGGTCTGTTTTGCCTGGTTTCTTTCACTTGGCATAATGCTTTCAAGGTTCGTGGATATTCAGCATGCACTGGTACTGCATTTTCTTTGATGGTCAAATAATATTCCAGCGTCATATTCCCTTGACTGATGGGATGGTTTCCATCGCCGGGGTCTGAGGCGTCAGAAGTTCTGCATTCTGTCCAGCAGAGGGGGCTGTTGGGTCCCAGTGGTTCATTGCCGCAAAGGGACCAGGTAGCCTTTGGGGGAGACGGCAATGGCACCCCACTCCAGTGCTCTTGCCTGGAGAATCCCGTGGACGGAGGAGCCTGGTGGGCTGCGGTCCATGGGGCCGCTAAGAGTCGGACACGGCTGAGCAACTTCACTTTCACTTTTCAGTCTCATGCATTGGAGAAGGAAATGGCAACCCACTCCAGTGTTCCTGCCTGGAGAATCCCAGGGACGGCGGAGCCTGGTGGGCTGCTGTCTAAGGGGTCGCACAGAGTCGGACACGGCTGAAGCGACTTAGCAGCAGCAGCCTTTGGGGAGGGGCCTGTCTGAACCTGGTCCTGGGTTCAAGAACCCCTAGGGCTGCTGCTGAGGGTACATGAGGGTGTGCGTGTGTGTGTTTGTGTGTGTGTGTGTGAGAGAGAGAAAGAGATTTTGAAATGAATTATAGAGCCTCATCCCGGAAAATGATGGAAGTGGAAAGGGGGAAATAGCACCGACAATCCCATTTTCCTGTCCCATTTTAGTTTTTAGATGGAAAAAAAAAATCTGTCGGGAGTGATGGAAATGTTTGTTAACTGATGGTGGTGATGGTTTTTGTGAGTGAAACCCCAGTTCTGACCTCCTGCAGGCCATGTCAGCCTGGCCCCTAACCCAGCTGTTCCTCAAACACACCCGGACCTCTGAACTCTCCCCGTCTTTGCCTGTCCATCCCCATCTCCAGAACCAGCTCAGGTGTCATACCCGTAGGCCAGCCTTCCCCAGACCTCTGCGTCCTCTTGGACGTCCACTCACACAGCCCATGTACCTCTGCCGCGGCCTGGCTCTGCCCGCCTCACCCCTTCCTTCCTCCTGCATGCTCACCACCGCCTCTTTCCCGCGGGGACAGGACTGACTGAGCATCTATTATGTCGTAAGCACTGAGGGTTCACTGGGTAACAAGACAGACAGATCTCTGTCCTTGGAAGTTTAGATCTAGTTGGGAACAGACATGGGGTGGGGATCACAGAGCGTTAATGGAAATGGATCCCACGTTCCTCCTCCGCCCTCCCTTCCTCTGGAGGGAGAGATGATAAGAAAGCTCATCGGGGAAGGAGCAGAGACCCAGGGCGGGGGTGCTTCCAGGGAAGACTACGGGGAGGGGAGGAATGTCCTTGGTGCCAGAAGAAGCTGTCCCACGGGGAGATAGCCACTATCTTGCAGTGTCCTTGTGCCCAGCAAGCCACTTGCTCTGCCAAGAGAACAGGGCGTACAAACCCAAACCGAACAGTGTCAGTTTCCAGTGCACACAAATTTAAGGTGGGGCCAAGTTGGGGGCCTGCAAACCAGAGAGGAACACCTCACTGATAGATGCAGCAGCTCCCCCCCCCAAAGTATTCTTTTCTTCCCTGGTGCTTAATGATATTGTCCCAGGTGGACCCACAAATACCCCCTGTTAGCAAGGGGTTAAAAAAAGTTTATGCTTTTGGGATTCTCCCTGCTGACTGCCAGGGAATGGGGTTCCAGAGGCACTGGGTTCTGGTTCTGCCAGATCCACTCGAGGCGGTGCCGGAGGAAAGCACTAATGCCGATGGTGAGCTGCTGTGGGCCATGCGTTGGGAGGTCAGGGTTTATTGCTCCCAACTTGAAGAAGAGGTCTTCAGGATGTGAACGCTGCTGGGGTTCCTGCCTGGCTCTGCCAGCCACCAACTTGGCCTCAAGCCCTCCTTCCTCAGATGCAAAACAGGCTTTCTTACCCTCGGGGCCCTGTCTGCTGGGCAGAGGAGCGCCAGGGTGAACACAGCCCAGCGCAGAGCACCTGCAGGGAGCAGCAAGGAGCTGTGGCTGGAAGCGTCTGCCAGTCTCCCCTCCCCGCCCCCACCGCCCCGGGGCTTTTCCTGCCAGGCTCCCAGGGCACCACCGTGAAAGGCGACCACGGGAAGAACAGCCCAGGTTTTATGGTTGCCCCCCATCCGGCAGCTTCCGCACGGTGCTCACAACACACTGTTCCACGTGAGGATGAAAAACCGGCTCAGAGAGGAGGGGAAGGGAACTGCCAAGGTCACACAAGCCTCCGGGGGAGAGACCTGAAGCCCTGCCAGGCCGCCCTGGGCTCTGTTCCCTCCAGATGAGACGTCAGGGCATCCGCTCCGGGTGGCACTGGAGCTGGGGGAGGGGGGTTCGGGTAAGAGAACCCTCAGGAGGCGGGGGCGGGCGTGTGTGTGCATTCTGGTTCTCACGTTAACGCCCGGGGAAGCAGGCGCGAGCGGTCCAGAGGCGCCTGGCCTCTAGCCGGGGTCTCCGGCTGACATATCCCATTTCCTTTCGCGTCACCCAGCAAGGCTGGTCGGGGTCTTCTCGGCCCTCGGGGCCCCCCACCCCCACCGCACCCCCGGTGTCCACTCCGCTGTGTGTCTGAGATCTCCGGACTTCTCCGGAGAACCAAAAGCAGACTCCGTTTCACTGCCCGCCGGGGCCGTGCTGTCCGCCTCCGTCCCCCATCCCTGGGCGCCCAGTGGAGGCCGGGGGCCCCCCTTGGAAGCAGAAGACAGATAAATTCCCAGTCAGGGCTGCAGGAAGGGAGACGTTCGTGCTGAGCAGCCCGGGGTGGGGGGGGGAGACATTCCTATGGACCCTCTACGTGTTGTTTCAGCCGTCATGCCGGGACCCCAGAGCCCGGAGGCGACCGCCGGGCGACCTTTCCGCTGGGGAGCGCGCTCAGCCAGTTACGCCAGCGAGAGGCCACCCGGCTGGCCGGGATCCAGGGCACCTGTTCCCGGGGGTACAGAAGTCTCCGTCCGGTCCTCAGTTTCCCCAGGTGCGGGGGCCGCTGGCAGGGCCGCGGCCGGGTTGGGGGGTGGCCGCCCCTTTAAGAGGCCCCGCCCCGCTCTATCAGCCGCGGTGCGGCCCCGCCCTCCGCTCCGCCCCTTCCTGCGGAGCCGAGCGCGGGCGGCGCGCGAGAGAGCGGCGGGAGCGGGCGTGCAGATCGCCGCGCGGGGAGAAGCCCCTTTAAGAGGCCCCTCCCACCGCTCCATCAGCCGCGCCGCGGCCCCGCCTACCTCC